AGGCTACTAAATGATAACTTACTCTATCTCCAGACTTCTCAGGGCTCCTCCCAAAAGGCAAGCATTTTTTAACAGTTTCTCTGTCTTTCCAGAAACTTTCTATTACATATAAGCATATATGTAGCTATATCAATTTTCCTATAACAAATAAGACCATTTTACACTGTTCTGCTCTGGTGTGTGTGTGTGTGTGTGTGTGTGTGTGTGTGTGTGTTTAACATAATATATTTTAGAACTCTTTCTGTAACAGCATGGATAAGTTTACCTAATTCTTTTATTTTTTATTATTTTTATTTTTTTCAGTTTATAATGTTCTTTATTATCCATAAATGAGTGAGGTCATGTGGTGTTTCTCTTTCACTGATTGGCTTATTTCACTCAGCATGATGTTCTCCAATTCCATCCAGGTTGCTGCAAATGATGAGAATTCCTTCTTTTTTATGGCAGCATAGTATTCCATTGTGTAGATGTACCATGGTTTTTGGATCCAATCATCTGCTGACGAGCACCTAAGCTGTTTCCAAATTCTAGCTATTGTATTATAGATTGTGCTGCTATGAACATAGGGGTGCATATATCCTTTCTGATTGGTGTTTCTAGTTTCTTGGGATATATTCCTAGAAGTGGGATTACTGGGTCAAATGGGAGTTCCATTTTCAGTTTTTTGAGGAAACTTCACACTGTTCTCCACAGTGGTTGCACCAGTCTGCATTCCCACCAGCAGTGCACGAGGGTTCCTTTTTCTCCGCAACCTCGCCAACACTTGTCGTTTGTTGATTTGTTGATGTTGGCCATTCTGACAGGTGTGAGATGGTACCGCATTGTTGTTTTGATTTGCATCTCTCTGACAATTAGTGACTTTGGGCATGTTTTCATGTGCCTTTTGGCCTTCCTTCTGTCTTCTTTTGAAAATATTCTATTTAGGTCCATTGCCCATTTCTTAATTGGATCATTCATCTTCCTTTTATTTAGTTGTATAAGCTGTCTGTAAATGTTGGAGATTAAACCTTTATCAGTGGTATTATTTGCAAATATGTTCTACCACACAGTGGGCTTTCTTGTTGTTTTGTTGATGGTTTCTTTTGCTGTAAAAAAGCTTTTTATTTTGATGTAGTCCCATTTGTTTATTTTCTCTTTAGCTTCCATTGCCCTAGGGGCAGTATCAGTGAAGAAGTTCTTTTGGCATACGTCTGAGATTTTGCTGCCTGTGGATGCTTCTAGTATTTTTATGGTTTCCCATCTGATGTTTAAGTCCTGTATCCATTTTGAGTTTATTTTTTGTATATGGTGTAAGTTGGTGATCTAGTTTCATTCTTTTGCATGTTTCTGTCCAATTTTCCCAACACCATTTATTGAAGAGACTGTCTTGACTCCATTGTATATTCGTGCCTCCTTTGTCAAATATTAATTGAGCATAGTGATTTGGGTTGATATCTGTGTTCTCGATTCTATTCCATTGATCTATATGTCTGTTCTTGTGCCAGTACCAGGCTGTTTTGAGAACAGTGGCTTTGTAATACAGTTTGAAGTCTGGTATTGAGATCCCTCCTACTTTACTCTTCTTTCTCAGGATTGCTGTGTACCTAATTCTTTTAAAAACTGTATAATACTTTGTATTTCCTTTTGATAGATCATAGCCTTGATAACAATTTTTAAAACTATTTTAAATACTAGAGGCCCAGTGCACAAAATTCATGCAAGGGGCTCAGCCCTCACAGCACTGGCTGCCTTGTAGCCCCAAGGCCCCACCCACTGGTCATTCTGGAAAGTTGTTCCACTGTCCAGTCTAATTAGCTTATTAGCTCTTTATTATATAGGATTGCTGGAGTGAACATTCCTTTAAAGATTTTTTTTGTATAAATGCCTAAATAAATTTGTAGGAAAAATTCCTAAAATGGCATTTCTGTGTCAGAGAAGGATGGATATATATATATATATATATATATATATATATATATATATATAAATTTCTTGTTCTACTTATTTATATACTAGAGGCCCAGTTCATGAAATTTATGCATGGTGGTGGGGGGGTTCCCTCAGCCCAGCCTGCACCCTTTCCAATCTGGGACCCCTTGGGGGATGTCTGACTGCCGGTTTAGCCCCATCTGCAGGGATGCAAGATATCCCTCTTGCAATCCAGGACTGCTGGCTCCTAACCACTTGCCTGCCTACCAGCTTGATTGCCACCTAACCACTCCCCTGCCAGTCTGATGGCCCCCAACTGCCCTTCCCTGCTGGCCTGATGGCCCCTAACTGCCTCTGTCCCACCACAGTGGCTTTGTCTGGAAGAAAGTTGGACAGTAGGAAGATGTCCAATCTCCCAGTCTAATTAGCATATTACCCTTTTATTAGTATGAATTCCTTGGTTGATTCTTGTATGTACCTTGAAAGAGCACCAAAGCCACAACCTTAGTGTGTCTAAGGCATTTTAACCAACTGAGCTATCCAGCCAGGGCCTGAATTAATTTTTCTTTTCAGTTCTCACCCAAAGATTGTTTTTTTTTAATTAACTTTAGAGAGATAGGAAGGAAAGAGAGAGAGAGAGAGAGAGAGAGAGAGAGAGAGAGAGAGAGAGAGAGAGACAGGGATGTGAGTGAAACATGCCAGAAGCCAATTCCAGCATGTCAGCAAGGTTGAATCATCTGGGAATGGCTAAAGTCATTTCCCCAAACCTGAAAAAGATGCATAAATTGATTGCTTGCTGCCAGACAGCTCAGGGCATCTCAATCTACATGTTATTGCCTCCTACTTGCCAAACACTTGAAAAGCTGTAGGCAAAATTTTCCAATCTGATAATGGATTTGTGTACTAAACCCTGGCATTTGAAGTGTTTATCTACCTCACCTTAGGACAATTTGTGTTAATAAAAAGCAAGAGGTCCTGAGATGAGGAGAACTTAGTTCCTTTAGCTAAGTCTTCAATGACTTCCCAATATGTCTTTCAAAATTATGTTTCATCTCTGGATTTTTATTTAATTTATGTACAGCGCCTTCTCCAGGTCCCTGAATCCTTCTAGATGCTGGATCAAGACCACCGGTGTTAGAAACATCCATCAGTTGTTTTTCGTACACACCCCGACAGGGATTGTAACTAGGTATGTGCCCTGACTAAATCAAACCTGTAACCTTTTGGTGTATGGGATGATGTTGCAACCAACTGAGCCACCCGGCCAGGGCCTCAATTTTTAATGTTTATTATTGTACACTGATATGAAGAGTTTGCATGTCTTACCTGCATAAATACAGGATCACTCCTACCCACACACATTCACACATCCTTTCCTATATTTTGAAAACAATGAGTTTACATCAACAACTCCAATTCCAATATAATGTCACAGGATTTTCTTCATTTCCCTTTCCTTCCTTTCTTGATTTGAAACTTCTTTTTCCCACAGTGAGAAACATGGCTATTATCCTTAATTATACATAGGATCCCATCTAAGCTGCCATGCTTCTCTCTCTGAGATGCCCTTTCCATTTGGCTCTAGGGCTACAAGATCCAGTGTAGGGCTGTTCCTGGGTGGGCAAGCCCTCTTCGCCCTCTGGGGTTTCTACAGCCTTCTTCCCTGCCCCTGACACTCTGCTCTGCATTGCCAGGGGCCGATGCTTACCTTGCCTTTCTGACTGAATAGTTGAGGAAGGGCAAAAGGGGGTGAGAAAAACTGAAATCAATACATATATATTGATTTCCAAGAGGAAGGGAGAGAAAGAGAGAGAGAGAGAAACATCAATGATGAGAGAGAATCATTGACTGGCTGCTTCCTGAACACCCCACATTGGGATGAAACCTGCAACCTGTGCATATGCCCTGACCAAAATCGAACTATTATCTCCTGGTTCATAGGTCGAAGCTCAGCCACTGAGCCATGCTGGCCAGGCTGAATGTGCATTTTGAACAGGCATTGTGCCTCTTTTATTTTACTAAACTCCTTATTTACTAATACTTCCAAGTTTCATAAGAGCTGGAATTATTGGATGAAATGTTTTTTTTAAGGCTTTAAAAATAGTACTAATCTCTCAAAAAAGTTTACCTCAATTTACAACCTCATCGTGAGCACTATCATTCTCTCTGTCCCCTCCTCAGCCAATAGATCAGTAGTATTACCATTATAGGCAAGGAGTCTCTAAACAAGTTTTCTAGTCCCCCACGCTGTCCTTCCTTTGGACAAGAGAAGGGGCCCTCTTCCTTATTTATTTTGTTATTTCATCTCCGGAGGCACTCCAGTCACCACAGAGTGGGAGGCATCATGGTACTAGACCTAGACAAACTCTGAGCGCTCTGTGGCAACCAGGATGTACCACCTCCTCTCTCCCGGTCCACCTCGGTGCCTCCGGCCAGTAGAGGGCGCTGTGGAGCCCTCGCCGCCGGACTCCGCCCCCAAGGCAGCGCGCCGCGCCACCCCCGTGACGTATTTCCGCGTCATCTGCCGCGGAGGCTTGCTCGCATTGGCTGTCGGCGAGGCAAGTGGGCGGAGCCGAGTGGGCGTGTGGAGAAGGCAGCGGCCCCGGGGAGGGAGCGCGGCATCCTCCTCCCCGCCCCTCCCCCGCCCTGCAGTCCCTCCCGGGGACCGCTGCGCGGAGCGACTGCGAGCGAGCGCGGCGACCGAGGCGGCTGCACTTTCTCGGGCGGCGGCGGCGGCGGCGGGAGCGCGGTTCTGTTTCGCGCGCTGCAGAGCCTCCAGCCCGAGGCGCCGGCTGGCCGAGGGAGAGGGCGGGGGTCCCGGGCTGCCGAATTGCGTCTGCCGGGAAACTCTTGGGCTCCCTGCGCGCGGAGCCCACCCTGCCCCGGGCGAGTAGGGCGGGGGGTCCCACGAGACCTCCACCGCCCCGAGGCGCTAACGGGACCTCGCGGGGCGCGCCGTCCTCCTCGGAAGGCGGTCCCCGGCCCGCGGCCCCCCAGCCGGCCCCGCGCGGCGGGCTCGGGACGCAGCGGAGGGAGGAAGCAGAGGGGCCGCTTTCCCCTTCGGAGTTGGGAGCGCCTCTCCCAGGTTCAAAATGCCCAAGAAGAAGCCGACGCCCATCCAGCTGAACCCGGCCCCGGACGGCTCCGCGGTTAACGGGACCAGCGCGGCGGAGTAAGTATAGTGGGCGGCGGGCGCGGGCCGGGGCGGGGAGGCCCCCGCGGGGGCGCCGGAGCCGAGAGGGCGTGCGCCGCGCGCCGGGCTCCGCCGAGTTCGTCACGTACGTGTCTCGGGCGGGCGGGCGGGCGGGCGGGAGCGGAGAACTCCCCGCCGCCGAGATATCGGTGACTAAGCACTGATTGTGCTCCTGACTCAGACCCCTCCGTGGACCCAGCGAGTCTGGGTTTTTACCCCTTTCCCGACCCTTTCGGTCATTCCAGGCCACAAGGAAAAAAAAAAAAGCCGCAAAAAAACTGGTTCTTCCACCGCCCCTCCCCAGGGATGCTGGCCTGAAGGGACACATGTCATGGAAAAAATTAAGATCGCATCTACTTGAGACCGCCTCGACAGATAGCGTGGAGTTAGCATCCACCAGCAGCATCCTCACCTTGGTGCCTGACACCTGTGGCCAGGAGTGCCTGGCTGCCGCCGCTGCCTGGCTCGCGGGGGCGTGTGTACACTGGCATCCAGGTGGCTCTTCCATTGCCGACTTTGGGGGCTCCTTGTCCTCGTCCTTCTTCCTGGAAACTGTTGGGTCTTATAAGGAGGGGCTTTCCTTTTCATCTGACTCCATCCACCCACCCATCACCCACCCACCAACACATCCATCCATCCATCCATCCATCCATCCATCCATCCATCCAATCTGATGAAATTGTTTCATGGGGGTTTCTGAGTTCTCACAATTCTTTTGGGTTTTGGATAGGGGGCAAAAAGGAGGGAGAGAGACCCTCCGAAGGAATAACCGGAAAAGATTTGACTTTTTAAAAAAAGAAATATATTTTATTGATTTTATTTTACAGAGAGGAAGGGAGAGGGAAAGAGAGTTAGAAACATCGATCAGCTGCCTCCTGCACATACACACACACACACAAACACACACACCCCCACTCACACCCCCGGGGATGTGCTTGCAACCAAGGTACATGCCCTTGACTGGAATCGAACCTGGGACCCTTCCGTCTGCAGGCTGACGCTCTATCCACTGAGCCAAACCGGCCAGGGCAAAGATTTGACTTAATCTTTTACCTGAAAACTGAAGACTTTAGGAAACTAACTAGCTGATGACATGAATAGAACAGGCCTGGACCTCCTGTGCTTTGGTGATTTCTATAACCTTCCTCTCTCCGGATTTTAATATTCCAGGGACCTGTTGGCTTGGTGACTACTCCCCTCTGTAATGATCATAAGGCCATTGCTGGACCTGTAGTGTGAGCTCAGACAGGTTCCTCACACCTGTTCCCAACAAACCCTCTTCACTACTGTAGTATCTGTTTTACATGTTAATGACTTGTACATTCCTTCAGTTTTAGTTGACAGAATTTTGTCCCCTTAAAATAGACTGAAAACCCCCAGAGGAGGAGATTCCAGGGTAATGACACTGTTTTCAGGTCACATTTTTGACCTTTTGACCACAGTGGATTCTGGCTGAATATTGTGGCCTGGTCATCCTGCTCCTGTTTGATTTGGAGGAAGGTACTAAGTAGAATTACCTGTGGTCATTCTGTTGGTAATTGTAACACCACAGCTGTATTCTTGTAAAGGGAGGACATTTCATTAACAGCCAACAGTACAGGAGGGAAAAGAGAAAAGTATTCGAGTTGATGGCAGAAAAATTTGGGTGGGACTGGGAGATTCTAAATAATGGTTAAGAGGTTGGACTCTGAAGTCAGGCTAAGTTTGAAGCTTGGTTCTGTTATTTGTGGTTTTTGTGACTTGGGACAAATCTTTTAATCTCTCTAGGGCTTAGACTTAGTTGTGCCTTTTTTTTTTTTTTTTTTTTTTTTTCCCATCTGCAAAAATGGGGCTAATGATAGAACTGACTTAGGATAGTTATGAAGATTAAGATAAGTTAATACATAGTAAGTCTCCCAAAGATGTTAGCTCTTGGTGCCTTTGTTACTGGGTAAATGTTGAAAAGGCTGAACGAAACTGGAAGGTAATTTTCATTCCTAGTGGATATGTATTAAGGGACCTTTGCTTCTGGGTAAATGAATCTCCCTTGCTTGGTAATTATTTTGTGTGCCATATGCATCTTCCTCCGTACCACATTGCTGTGTTACAATAGGAGGCATCTTTATGTAGGCTGCCTGAGACAAACAGGGATGCAAACAGGAGGAAAGCTGTATACATCTTCATCTTTCACCTTTGAGAGTGTTTCTCAAGCAAAGCTACAGTTCTCACCCGGCTGGTGTGGTTCAGTGGTTGTGCATCAATCTGTGAACCAGGAGGTCAGGTTTGATTTCTGGTCAGGGCACATGCTGGGTTTGTGGGCCTGATCCCCAGGGGTGGGAGGCATGCAGGAGGCAGCTGGTCAGTGATTTTCTCTCATCATTGATGTTTCTACCCTCTCCCTTCTCTGAAATCAATAAAGATATATTAAAAAAAACCAAAAAGCTACTGTTCTTATGATTTCTGTGATTAGACCAGGTTTAGTTCTGAACATTATCCTACAACAAGCATGTCAAACTCGAGGCCTGCAAGCCACATATGGCCCACAATGAATTTTTAATATATATTTTATTGATTTTATACAGAGAGGAAGGGAGAGAGATAGAGAGCCAGAAACATCGATGAGAGAGAGTCATCAATCAGCTGCCTCCTGCACACCCCCTACCGGGGATATGCCCGCAACCAAGGTACATGCCCTTGATCGGAATCGAACCTGGGACCCTTCAGTCCTCTATCCATTGAGCCAAACCAGTCCCGGCCCACAATGAATATTTTTGCAGCCCAGCCAATATAATGGTATGTAAGAAACATTTTGATAAAAATTTTGTAACTTAATTTTTACGATATCCTATTATATATAATTATTAACAAATTACAACGTTCGCTATTGACTGACTACTATAATCGTGTTGCATTCATTTCTCTTACGTGCCTTACTCGCCAGCGCACCATTTCTCTCCACTAATACAAGCAGCGAATATTTTAGCAGCCGATGGCCACGTCATTAGTCTTGTACTGACTTGTTTGGTGTGTGCAACAGGAAATATTTCGCTTTCGGAGAACAAGAAAAATAGGTTTATTTGCATTACACTTATTAACTTGTGCAGTTATTTGGTGTCTGGTAAGTTAATGCTCAAGAAAAAAATATTAATTTTTATTAAATCTATTTTATGCTAACAGTTACTCATTTATTTCAGCTCTTTGTATTCAGCATGTCTCTATCGAAATAAACCTACATTTCTATGAAAATTGAAGCTTTTTTGTGTGTGTATGTGTTGCCCACTTAAATTTAAACCTTGTTTATTTGGCCTCTGTTAGCCTTTGAGTTTGACATGCTTGTCATACAATGTAAACTAAGAAGAAAAAGCCACATTGAGAGAAAAGAACTTTTGGTACTAAATTGGTAAGGTTGATTCTCCTCTGTGGCTCCCTGGCACCTTGAGATTTACCTCTAATGTAGCACTTAAGCTCATTCAGATGGAGCTGGGTTATATGGGACCTGATGTTATGCAAGTTCTGGGATGTCCTTGAAGAAAATAAGTGCAAAAATACTCTGCCAGTTTTGCAGAAACATGGTCATATTGCAAGGATGCTAAGTGTTAGAATGAAATACATTGGAAATAAGGTCATATTGCCCTGATTTAAAATGCTTTTCTTTTCATGGTCCTATTGCAGTTAGAATAAAATACAAACTTCTTATATTGGGCTATGAGAATAGGAGTGATCTATCTACTGTGCCCCCACCCCCATCTCTAATCACATTTCCTGCCGCTTTTTCCCCCCCCTTCATACTAGCTCTCTTTCACTTCCTCCATAGGATGGTCTATACTCCCTGCAGGCCCTTGCACATGCTGTTCCTTTTCCTGGACTGAATCATCCCTTCCTCTTCCCAAGCTAGGAAGGAAACAACCTTCACCTCTCTTAAAACTTTCCATAGAGATGTTCACTGGCCATCTAATTTAAAGTAGATTCATCTTTCTCATGATACCTTTTTAAAAAAATCCTCACCCAAGGCTATTTTTCCATTGATTCTGAGAGAGAGTGGAAGAGAGGAAAGACAGAAATACTGATGTGGGAGAAACACTACGATTGGTTGCCTTCTGCATATGCCCGACCAGAGCTTGGTCCAGGGAGGAGCCTGCAATAGAGGTTTGTGCCCTTGATCCGAATAGAACCTGGGACCCTTCAGTCCTCAGGCCGATGCTCTATCCACTGAGGCAAACTGGCTAGGACTTACCTCATTTTTAGATGATACTCATTCACTTTCTATAATTTTTTACTAGGTATTTAAAATATCTCTCCTGTACACCATAAACTATAAGCATAGCACTGCCATTTTTTTATTTACTGCTCTGTAAGTAGTATCTAGAATACAGTACCTGGCAATAATAACTGCACCAGTGTTTATTGAGTGAATCAGTGAGTGAATAAAGTTCCTAATATTTGTACAATGTGTTTAACAAACCTCTTCTTTATTTTCCCTTTTACTCCATTTACTCATCCCCATCTTCTTTCACAAGCACCATTCACCCATTGCAGGGTATTTAATATATGGTCTTACAGTTCCACCCATTATGTATATGCTAGAGGCCTGGTGCATGAAACTCATGCGTGGGTGGGGTCCTAGGCCTGGCTGGAGACCAGGGCTGATCAGGTTCCCCGTCTCCTCCTTCCCTCACCCCATCCCCAGTTCCCTATCTAAGCCCAGGCCCTGATTGAGGATTGTACCTGCTGGTTGGGGGGGGGGGGGTAGGGGCCAACCACCACTATGGTGGGCAAATGGCAGGCCGATTGGGGCCTGCTGGCCAGGGGGAAGATAGGGGGGAGATACCCAGGAAGTTGGCTGCTAGCCCCAAGGAGGGAGCTAGTCCTTGGCCCCTCTGGGAAAGGGACTGCATCCCTGGTTCCTTGTCCCAGCCTAGAGATTTGGCCCTGATCAGGCTATTGGGGCCTGCTGGCCGGAGAGCTGGGGGGGGGGGCGGGGGGGGCGGGGGGGAGGGAGA